TTGGGAGAAGTAAATTGTAAAAAGACCCACATATTATTTTCGTGCAAAGAATGAACCCCAATCTTTATTTTTTAAACATAGTAACATTCTAAAATTGTTACTATGATACTAGATTTTCAGTCACCACCCTTGACCAAAGCCGATTTTCAACCTCATGCGCTTTACCAAGCGGTGCACAAATATATCTTGTCTTTCCTAAGTCTGTTATGAGTCCATCGAGTAAATTTTCTTTACCCCAACAGTCACATTCTCCTGCGAAGAAAAAACTACATGATATTCAATACATCGCTAGCAAATTATCAAGATAAATACGTTTGCCAATAAGACAAATTATTAAAAACTGGATCATTGGATAATGCAATTTAAGGCTTCTTATTGGCTTAGCCATCATAGTATATGAACCAATATACCATAATCTACAAATATGGTAAGCGTACGCGTCAGCTTAAACTTAAAAGGGAGCTAAAAAATTTGTCTAATATAAAGATTTGGCTAATATCTGGGGGGTGTTTTTAATAAAACAATTATTCCACTCGCGCTTGTTGGATATGAGATGACTATAGCCAACTCGGCGCTACGCGCCTCGTTGCCTATCTATCATCTCATATCCAACGCACGCTCGTGAAATCATTGTTAATTATCCTTCATCAGGCAGGCGCCCATAATTATTTCACTATATCATATCGACTGGACACAATAAAAATAATATGAAAATGTTTGTCTTCCAATCAACTACTTGACGTAATTATGCAGTACTTATGCTTTCAAAGGAAATCGAAAGTTTCATTTTATCTTCAGTTAAATTGAGGTAATTTCTAATGTAAACACTGTACGACAGAGGCGATTTTCCGGCCCGCGTGAAAATAACAAAGCTCTTCTTTTCACAAGTCGCGACATATCAGACATTTTAGAATGAAAAGTACTGCATTGAGGCTAATTCTGAGGAATAAAGATAAAAAACTTTGCAAATCAAAGGTAAATGCTGAAACAATCAAAATTTAATTCGTAACAATTAACTTCTGCCTTTTGTCTGCGTTAATTTTGGCAACTAAGTGTTTGTAATCAATTTAGTCAGTGTTTGCGCATACGAAGAATGATCTTCCAAGTTTATCATTTCTAACTTGTTGCATGCCAACTGGGGCTGATCTTAGTTCCAAATGGCTCATTTTCAGTTATACACCGAAGAATCCGTAGTGGGCACTGCGGCATTTTTTAGCAAAGTAACTATCACTCCACAGCTAAGATTTGTTTTAGGAAAAAACCTTTGCCTTTTAAATTGAGTCGGCGCAGTGTCCTAGTACATTTAATTTTTTAGGAGGATACATTCTCATTTTCCGTAGATTTCTCTTGACAGTTGCCGCAAGAGAACCCCTCGCGATTTCCAAGACGTGAGCGACTGAGCGGGTCGACGTTTCTTCTTGAAATTCATTTTCTCGACTTTCTCTCTGTCTTTCTCCCCAAAAGAAGTATCTCCTTCCCCAGAAGACGAGTCATGTTTCGTTTGAAACATAAATGGATGTACTACATCCTCTCGCTAGATTAAAATCCAAGTCGACAATTCAATTGGTGTCGCCCCCATCACCGCTGTTTTCCTAATTCATATCCACTTCAGCAAGGGATATAACTTAGCATGTCTGACTATTGCTACGTCATAACAAAGATGGCGGATTTCAATTTGAAAATGCCGATTTTTGGAACGTAATTGTTCGCAATTAAAACGCTTTTAGCTCAAATGAATAGCCAGTAACGACAATTCAAGCAAGGAACTTTTGATCTAAGTATTCTTTTTCTAAACCGTACTTTCTCTTTAAGATCCAGGATTAGAGAACACAAGAAAGCGATTTTCACGGGAGATAGAAATTATTTATTAACCCAACATTGTATAAAACACAATCATGATTTTAACCTCGAGGACGTCAAGATCATTGACCGCTGTTTTCAATGGTCGAAAAGAAAATTTTTAGAATCGTGGCATTCAATTTGTGAACCGAATGCCATTAATGAAGACATTTACATTCCTGACATTTACAAGGTCCTTGGCAATCCCAAGTGACGCTTCTGCGGCTCATTTTAAAGCACTCATTTGCTTTCGTAGCTATTTTATTGCTGAAGAAGGTTATAATATTGTAACCGAAACGTCCTCACACAAAGTGTTTTAGTTAGTGACAACAAAAATATTTTCATTTATTATCATGCCTGACTACAACTATTGTATTTTTATACTTATGGTATGACAGTACTGAAGCTGCAGGAGAAACCGCTGATCCGTCTACCGACGTGGACATGATCTCGCCAGCGTTCTGGCTGATTAGTGGCAGTGAGCTTAAGATCACGCGCAGTGATGACTTTGGACTCACCCCTTTATTGCAAACAAGAGGGAACTGTCTGAGGGGGCAGACATTCCGCTCCAAAGTCACTAGCTATGGTGACTTCAGAAACGGTTTAGTTTGGTCCGATAGAAAGTGCTTGGGAAAGTGCAAAGTTCAATATGGTTGACATTACCTAACAACTGAGGACTTCGAACAGGCTTCATGCAGCGGTGACCTGTAAGTAGCTGTTGAGGACGGCTTCTGGTGTAACTGAGGCTAGAGCAGTTCTGTGATTATGATTGGAGGAGACGGAGCGGGTTGTTCACACGCTGACCATGGTATTCTTGGTTTTCACCCGAAGTCACCGATGTTTCCATATATGGGCATCCGTCATGTTGGAGCCCCTTGAGTGTTATTTTATTTAAGCATATGCGATTTCCACATTGTTAGTTATACGTTAATTTTGGAGTTTAAAATGGATATTTGCAAAGAAAAATCCGGTAAGGAGATGAAAAAAAAACGTTCCTGTGTTTTCTGAATACGCCAAAAACCTGGAAGGCCACGTTAAGGAACGGTATGTACAGAAAATATCTGTGGTCGAAGTGGATCCGGCAAGCCTTCCAAGCGAACAGTTTGATTCAGAAAATGTTATCTCATGCAACATTAAGGAATGTCCTTACTTGGAATTCCACCCTTCCTGCTTGGCATTAAATTCAGTGGATATTTGAAAATTATGGGTTTGTCCGCACTGTGTCAGGTTACCTCAGTTTAAACGAGGAAAGAATGCTAAACAAAGTGCAAGGTCAACTGCCAAAATACCGGTCTGCTTTTGTTTGTGACAGTATTTGCATCTGCAGCTCCTAACCAAACTCAGGTGACAAACTTCTGGAATGCCAAGGTGCAAAGTGTGAGAGTGGAAAATTTTTTCATTTAAATTGTTTTAGGTTTAAAAAGAATGCCAAACAACTCAAAGACCACTTGGAAATGTGCTGAGTGTAAAAAAGCTGTACAGTCAGTCTCAGCAGCTACCACATGTGCTTCTTGTGCAGTATCATCATCTGCTATCTCATTCCACTCCACATTAACGGCTTCTGTTAGTACAAGCTCTTAGTCAAAGAGCTCAAAGGTGAAATCAACAAATATAGTGCTCTTGCTAATCTAGCAGAATCTGACTATCAGATTATTCTCGATCAGTCTGGGTGGCTTAACTGTGATATCATTCACAGGGCTCAGGTACTGTTGTATGAAGCAAATCCAGTCATTGAGGGTTTTCAACGGCCTACACTTAGTCCTGTGCGAAATTTTGTGGTCTTTGGTGAGTTTATACAACTTCTGCACACAGGAAGCGATCACTGGGTCTGCATCAGCTCCATAGGGTGTCTGGCTGGACATGCTGATCTGTATGACAGCTTTTACCATGACATCATAAATCAGGAGGTAGAAGAACAGACTAAAGACTTACCTGGTGGCAGTTTAAAAGAAATCAATTTTGTTTGCTTTAGGCTTTTTTTTTCTCAAAATCTCAACTATCTAGTCAATTTACTTAGGCAGCGGAAGTTAAAGCCACCATTCATCAGCTATATTCTGTCATTTGCAGTAAAATACCTTGCAAAAAATCCACGCATATTTCACTTTTGCAAAAACAAAGTCAGTGAGATTCTAGGTCACGCTATAAATTCGTCTCCGATTAAAAAGAAACACAATGTTCAAAATGTCCTTAGGAAGTTGGAAAACGAAACATTCCATTGTTCTTGTTGAAAACACACTCAATTAGCTCTACGAATGGCTGGGAGTTGCACTGGAATATGCGAACTCATTTCTTGACAAAGCACTTGCGTGACAATGTCAACAGGCGATCGCGAATGCAAAGAAGCAACTGTTTTAAATCGAAAGAAATACGTGAAGTTTTTTCAACGGGATCATACATATTATATATGAAAAAGTCCAGGAAGGCCTGAAGATTTTCAAACTTCCAAAGGAAATTTTGAAGATTGTGTTTCTTTTTAATCAGATACGTATTTATAGCAAGACCTAGAATTTCACTGACTTTGTTTTTGCAAAAGTGAAATATCTGTGGATTTTTTGCAAGGTATTTTATTGCAAGTGACAGAATATAGCTGATGAATGGTGCTTTAACTTCCAATGCCTAAGTAAATGGAATAGATAGTTGAGATTTTGAAATAAAAAAAAGACCTAAAGCCCTGTTTGTGGTGCCTATTCTGTACTGTAGGGCATTACATACGATATCCGTAGGCCGGGCTCCCTGTGGATAAACTCGATTGTTAACACTTAGTTTCTGATGTTACCCGTAATTTTTTAGTTGCTTTCATGTTGTTTTAAATTATTTCGAGGTATTTTCAGGTAGTTTCAGATGGTTTCCTTGGGGGTTTCAGATGGTTTCAGGTGGTTTCATAGGTGGTTTCAGATGATTTCAGATGGTTTCAGATGGTTTCATATGGTTTCAGGTGGTTTCAGGTGGTTTCAGGTGATTCCAACTTTTAGTACCTACGCACATATTGTACCTTATTTAGTGCCTTTTTGATCCTGCCTTCTTCTACACCCCTGAAGAGATGAAGGCCAGAGGATATGGAGATGTTGATGTAGCAGAAATTGTTGAAAGGCCTCATCTCTATATTATTGGGAGATGTGGATCAAAAGGGGTTAAGCAGCTTCCACATGTTGAGACCAGACAAGAATGCCTTGATTACGTTCCTTATCAAGTAGAAACCAGTGATGGAGTTAAAATGAATGATGTGCTGCGGTTCTTCCATGGAGATGGCCCAGAACAGCAGTTTGAGAGTGGAGAGCAGAGGGTAGGAAAAGCTGGTTGTAGTGGATGTAGGGGAGATTCACGAAGATATCGTGACCTTACATACAGTTTTCGACGCCCCCAATTGTCTCTAGCAGATCGGCAAAACATAGTGCTAGCAGGGCCTGCAGGAAAAGCAAAGAGAAATGGTGGAATCAGACCATTGAAAGATATGTCGGTTGCTGAACTGCAGAGGGAATGTAGAGCACGGGGATTGTGTGATGAAGGCTACAAGAAGGATCTGCAGATCATCCTAAAAGAGCATCTTGGTGGTATACAGAGAGTACCAGCAATGTTTACCATGAATCAAGGAAGAAGCTTAAAGGATCTTCATTTAGGTATGTAATTAACTCAAATATTTACAGTACTAGCATAACACAAAATTATTATAAAGTTATCTTTTACCATAAAGGAGAATTACTCTCCTTACTGCATGTTAAATTCTTGGACTAGTGGCTCTATGGCTAATGAATACAAATTAAACAGTTTGTACTTTTATGTGCATTTGATCATGAAGGAGAAATCTAATGTTTTGCAAACCATTAGGTGCATGTTGTATCATTTTGTACTCATAGGGACAATAACGACTTTTATTATTAAATTGAACTTACTGACAGGGATCAGACAATATTGATTGTAAAAGCAAAATTGATTGGTCTGATTCTCCTAACATGGACCAGGACATAATGTACATGTAAAAGCAACACCTCACAATAGCAGTTTAAACACTCATATTTCACCCAAGCATAACGAAATTTATATGTATTTATCAAATCCAGTTAAATTAATTGTCTTTGGTTTTATTTACTTCCTTTCATTATACAGCGATGTATGAGGTCCTTCCCACTGAACCATTACACGATGTGAAGGAAAACATCTCAAAAAATTTAACACTGAAATTTCTGCCCACCTTTCAGATGATGTGAAAAAGTTGTGTGGGGAGACACTGAACTTGGTTTCTGTAACAAAAGACCAACTGCGTGGTTCAGATTATCATGAGATCTGTATTTTGCTTGCAAAACAGTTGAGAGGTAAACATTGTTCTACTTTTGAAGTTATATAGACATAGGTCCTAATTAACTTTGTACGTAAAATATTAAATTTGTCCTGACAATAATACTTTTGTTATTATCCCACCTCCCAACACACACCCCTGGTAGATCAGACCAGTTTGGACTAAAATTGGCAGAAGAATCCGAGAATGTTATTATAAGTCTCTAAGAATTTCGCATTTTTCACATTACATTGACATCTTATAGATACTTACTTCCCAAATGTAACCAGCTGTTGTGCTGAGTGCTTTATTACTGCTGTTCTGCTAAGTTATTTTAATCATTAAGTTGAACAGTTAACAACTGTTAATACATGTTGTACTCCCCACTTACAGAAAGTTGTTCTTTAGTTCCATCAAAATTATTTTCAATTAAGTGTTTTTATAGTTATATTTTATTATTTTCCCCTTCATAGGTTTTGTCGATGAGAAGGTACAGCTCTTGTTGGACACCATGACAGAAATCATGCAAATTCTGTATGCTAAGGTACAAGAGAGATGCCAAAAAATGTATTAAGGCTTCACAATCAAACCTTTCTTCATGCTATTGCATGTGAGGAGGTTATTGGAAAGCCTAAAATACTTACGGAGAAAAAAATCTATGGCCGTTACCTGCACTCATTCGTGTGCCATGTACCCATCCAACATCGCATCATCTGCTACAGGTCAACCAACACTGAACAACAAGAGCGCCATTTCAACACTTTTGCCAGCATATCCCTGGCAAAATCAAGCAGACGACCTGGAGAGATCATCACCCCTGGCCTGATCAGGATGCAAGGAGAAATGAAACTAGGTGAAATCAACCGACAAAGTGCCATTCAAGAGCAGGAGTCACGACTGGGGAAACTATCCAAGTGCTTGCCAAAACCTGAAAATAGTATCATCCCCCACAGAATCATCCTTAAATACCAGAGCGCCTATCAAGCACACCTGGAGCGCATTTCTGACTTCCTTTTGTGTAGAGAAGGAGTTTGGTGAAGGCATGTTGCTAAAGGTGTTAAATTCTTTGATGTCACCTCCCCCTGTGAAACTCGAACAGAAGTGCACACCCTTCCACCTTTACACCAATTTCGCTCCCACACACTGAAGTCAGAGAGTAAATGCCTTCAAGAAAACTGGAAGAGGTGTGTGTCATCAGCTCATATTCAAATACCTCACCATGCTATCAGAGTATTTGATGAAAGGGGTGAGCTTCACCACATCATTCACATTGGCTTCCTGCAGGATGATGAAGATGAAGACGAAAGTGAAAGAGAGAGTGACAGAAATGAAGAATTGAATGGAGTTGGAAGTGAAGATTATGCAGAAGAGAACAGGCTTATGGATCATAACAGCGAAGACGATGAAGATGAAACTGACAAAGGAGAGGAAAGAGTGATTGCTCTTGTTCAAGTGGGAGAGGACATTTTGGGCCAGGGTGACCAGAGAAATGGGATGGAAGAACTAGAAAAAGATCAGGAAGAGACAGGGGTGATTACAGTGCAACCTGAAGAGTTGCCAATTACTGGTGAAACCCATGAGACCAGCTACACTTAGAACCAAATTTATCTACATCCTCCTTATACTCGACTACAGCCAAAAATGTAGCTAAAGTTATTGGTGAGACAAAGGATGTAAAGAAACTTGACAGCACTAGAAACACTCTTCGAAAAAACTTAAACAGTAAGACTCTGCAGGAAAAAATATGAATCTCAACTAGCTTATGTGCAGTTGCAAGTCCTTGCAAAGCACTCAGATGTAAACAAAAAAATTTAAAGAATGGGAAAAACTATTCATAACCGGAAATGATTGTTTAGAGCCAACTCTGGATGATATTGAGAAAGATGAGAAAGGATGCAACCTGTACAAGACCCTACGATTGTGTAGACAATTGTTAAAGCACTGGAAGATCACTATACACTCATCACCGTATTCATGTCCCCCTTACCTTAAATATGCACATCTGAGTGTCATCAAACTCAACACAAAATCCCGCAGTCAGAACAAATTATCTGACTGAATAGTTATCAGTATGCTGTCAACAATGAGCAATAAAAATACCTTAGGATGACTTTTTTCAGTAAAAAGTACTTGTAAAATTATGTATGGCTGGTTTGGGTACAGCATAATCAATAATAAGGAGTGGAAGAGGGGAGTTTAGCAATAAGAGATAAGCAGAAAAAGAAATTGAAAACAAGTCCAAGCCACAAGAGGGTTTCTATCCCAATCAAACAATATATAAATAAGATGCGAGCACTTACCTCTCGATGAAAGTTGTCCTCCTCAACTGATTCTGTTTTCTTTCCGTTTCTTTTCTGTTTTTTGTTTGTTTGTTTGTTTGTTTTGTTTGTTTTGTTTGTTTTGTTTTCTGTCATCTCTGAACTCTAACTTCTGCCACGGAAACGTTATTGCAAAGCGAAAACTAGTTTGCTTACCTTTCTATCGCTATAGTAACTCCTTAAGAGTTTCCTTAGAGGATACGTAATTAGCGGCTACCTCTGACGATAAAGCGAAATTTAACTCGTGACCTGATGTGACAAGATCAAATCAATGCTTTCCCGCCTTCCCGCAGATTTTTAAGTGCATTTTCTGTGCAAACAAATCAACAACGAATATGGAGGATGTTGCAAATACTAGCAAATTAATTTCCTTTCGATGGCGCCATCGATTCCTATACCTTGCAAGGAAATGTTACTTGAAGTGGCAACAAATAAACAAGGCCCATAAAAAAATTCAGGCAAAAGCGGGTACCCTATCACCGGTTTCTAGATTTGGAACCAACCCTAGGGTGAGTGGTGCTTCTTAAAACGTACATACACTCAAAAAGTCAGACTGATGTTGTATGTTGGGTTCTGGGAGGGGAAGGGGGTGTGAGTATGGTGCTTCAAGGTGAAAAGTCAGTGTTGAGTATAAGCTATAGTCTGTAAGATTAAGTGAAAATACAGTCATCATTTTGATCAAATTATTTGATAACAACAACCACATAATCCACATTTCTCTCCAGCTCAATATTGGCAAACTGAAAAAATGTAGTCATAGAATCCCTGAAGTGTTTTATTTCAACAATGAACAGGGGTACAGAGGGAAAGAAGTGACAAAAATAAACAGTTGTATTCACACCGCATCTGTAACCTCTATGCCCATCTAAAACAATAGAAATGCTTCCCTATACCTATATTTCTCATAATGTGCCAAGCAGGTTCTTATTATAGCTAGTAATTTGCAGATGAACCGTCTGCTCAGATAAACAACACGATAACCAAACTTTGCTAAAGGATCAAAGGATGTCATGAATCACCATTTCACCAGAAGAATAAATGTATCTTTCAAAATAACAAAATGGCTGCAGAAATTGAATAGTACCTAATTTTTGAGATTTGAAAAATTCAAAAGGCACCCAAATGTATAAAGTGGTGTAGGTATGGTAAAAATTTACATTTCTTTTCTTAAAAAGTCACTTAAAACTTAAATTAACTGCAATTCATATTTGCAGCTTTTTTCTCCACAAGGTATTATATCTGGCAGAAATATACCAGAAATTTCTCCATACCAGTTAAGGACTTCAAGAGACAATGACAATAAAGACATCACAGTTCACATTGGTCATGGTGTATTTGGTAGTTGTCAAAAAAAGTATTAGAAAGGAATTCCAGTAGCTGTGAAGGAGTACAATAACCTATCTTCTACTAAGGATATTCAACGTGAAGCAGATGTAATGGCAAGATGTTCACATCCATCTCTTCCTCACATCTTTGGAGTAAATTTAACACAAAAACCTTACTTTTTGGTTTCCTACTTCTATGGTATTAACAACCAGACTTTTACTTTGTACAGTGCATTATACCATCCCACCATACCCTTCACAAAATATTGTGCTGGAAAGATTATGTTTGAACCGTGCCAAGCTCTACAGCACCTTTACATGAAACAACTTCTCCATCGAGATATCAAAAGTGATAATATTCTCCTGAGAACTCTACACACAAGATTTCATCCCATGCTCATTGATTTTGGCAAGTCCGTTGGAGTATCTGAAGCTACTTCCAAAAGGAGGAGTCTAAGTGCACATGAACAGGATGGCTACCGTAAAAAGTACAGACACATTGCTCCTGAAATCATTCTTGGCAAGCCACCATCATTTGCTTCCGATTTATTTTCAGTTGGTGTTGTCATGTCTGATATCAGTGCCAACATTCCTTCTGAACGTTGCTTTCTTGAAGTAGAAAGGAAATGCTTAGAAGAAGATCCCAAATTAAGATGTTCGACTGCGTACCTTCTCAATCAGCTTGAAAGAAATGTATCCCTTTGCAAAAAGCGAAAGCAGTTCCCAGGTGATAATTATGTATAGTATGGCCAAATTGAATGCTCCATTCATAAGCTATAAAATAGTAATTATGACAGCAGAGGCCAGACAGACGAAATGTTGCAAAATGCACCAGACAGGCAGTTTCAGTTTGTTATTGTACTCACTCTACTGGGCTTTCAAAGTGCATTAATTTTTCGGAAACTCACTGCAAAGATATGGTCATCTTTTGGTAGCCAGTGAAATCAATAACATCTGCACAAGGCCTTTCACAATAATATGAGGATTGCCTACATGTACAATGTACAATGATCACTTTCCTACAACTACTCGAAGGGTTCACATTTAAAAAAAAATGTTTATCTTGAATTAAGAATTGAGATAAAAACTGACTAGCAGCTGTTGGACCTTTGTCCAATGGCACTCTTGTGTTGTTGTGTTAGACCCATAAGCCACTCTTTTTGTAACACTTCAAGGGTTATGTGCATGAAGGAGCTCTTATTCACAGAAAAAATCCACTGCCAAAGGATCATCTTCTTGCTATCTAAATAATATCAGTCAAAATGTCCAACCAAATTTAAATTAGTTCAACACAGCAGTGGCACACTGAGATGAGCCTAAAGTAGGTTAATTTACAATCA